GACGAAAGCTTAGCACCTTTTCAGCGGAATCGAAGGAGATTGCCTCGGAAACAGCGTCAGCATGAATGTTCTAGGAAAGCCAATCGAAAGCTGGTCAAGAGGAATCCGCAGTGGAAACGACCTTCGAATCTCTTCACCAAATACTCTCACTCGAAATGGAAGTAAGCTCAACAATTATGAAGTAAGAGCTTCCTCGAAACCCAACTTTTCTTCGCAAATATTCAGACCGAATAGCTGGTTTACAGGTTAAAGTTTCCTGTTATCGTATCAGTCCACTTCGGTGAGTAAACAAATATTAACCCTAGTTTCGGTCGCAGGTTCACTTACGCTTCTTCGACACGGGCCATCTAATCTGGGGATGGGTTCTTGCCTAAAATTTCATTTAAAGCACTGCCAAACATGTCCCTAAAAGTTATAATGAGCTCTCTTTCGATGGTATTTTTAGCCAGACTCAATCGACTCTCGGCGCTCTCTGCCGAGGCAAGGGTGCTCTCTTCAGACGGCCGGCTCTTGGCAGAAACTGACCTTCTCAGCGGCGTTGCCAATGCCGCTAACGAGACCAATCACCGGCCAATTCAAAGAAAGAGACGATTCCAAGGTCTGAAAGCCAACAACTTAATACGAGTGAACGAATTGGCGTGAATGCTAGAGCCATTATCTGCGGATTCACCACTTCAGTCTTGGTCGAACGGGTCTTGTCATGAATCATATTATGAGTTATGACAGTTCGGAGAGCATCACCAGCCGAAAATAGGCACAATACTGCTCTCTCAATAAATGGCAGGAGTTGAAGGACGAATGCTAGCGTTTTCCTATCATTATTTGGGTTATTTTTCAACATTATTTTTCTCATTTACTTCTCGATTTCAGAACATCAGTCCAGCCCTCCATCCTTGCCGTAAATCTATCCAACTTCCGTAGGGAAAAGCCGAAGCTTTGGGAAAAAATGGGACCGTGAATTATCTAACTTTCGCTCTCCTAGACTATAATAGTCAACCGTAATAATAGAACAGTCAGAAGGGAAAGATGAAGCCTGACAATCGAGGTAATGCACATTAAGTTACGATTGACCAATAACTGCATTTTCCCAGACTGATCCAATTTACCTGACGAGACTCGAGCCCGGATTGCGAACGCGTCATTCTGCAATACAGCCGCTGATGTGATGTAATGGTTAAGGCACCAGCGGAACCCAGGTTCGAGTCCAACTGGGAAGAGGAGCTGATGGGACCGAGGCGAGGTCGAGACTGCCGTCCATGCTAACCGGGAGGAGGACACCTCTTGGGAAGGTGAGGCCTACTCTTATGATTGTATGAAAATCTAGCCAGCACTTTTTATCATCTAAACTGGAATATGGGGAACAAGTGTTCGTCTCGAAACCCATTTAAAGAGGAACTAAATAACTGACTGAGGAAAAGATAAACCAGGCGCCTCGCATATTGCATGTCTTTAGACAGAAAAAACGTAAGGCTTTTCTGCAAAGATGCGCAAAACTGCGGAGAACTGGAAAATTGGGAAATGCACACACTTCTCCAGTGAGATTCTAGGCCCCAAATGCGTACGGTCTGCCCAACAATCATTTGTTAGGATTATTGTAAACAATAGAGATAGCCTGATGCATACAGTTTCACGATTTATTTGTACTAAGTTCAAACGAATCTCCAAAACTTGGAAGTTTTTGACAAGGAACTCTTACGAGTGTATGAAGCTGGTCGATGCTGAGATGCTAGAAAGTGGCGAT